CATCCCACACAAAGGAGGACTTGACTTCTTTAATTTCTTTTGTCGTAAACTTTAATGTACGGAGTAAGATGATGCATGAGGTCGGTTTCGGTAGGGCAGGTTAATGGAACAAAAAGACACGAACTGCATTCTGCATCCTTCCGCTAAAGTGCAGGTCACAATGTTCCATGTCCATCTGGGGGGTCGTCAGGTCTTTGAAGAAGTAGATGCTTCCAGACTTTACTTGATGGGCCTGCCTGTTGGCGTAGGGACTATCTCGACGCTTTCCCATCGTCTCTTTCCCGTCCTATATATTTGGAATTTGGAACGGCGGCGAATACTTTGCTGCATAAGCTCCAGGGGCAAGTTGTTGAGACGAACCCTTCGTGCATGAGCCTAGACCCTTTTGGTGTCATCACCTTGGGTGAAGATGAAATTAGCTCATCCGACCACGGAAGGTTTTCGCTAATCGTTCTGCCCAGCTTCCCGAGGAAGAGGTATAGATACCCGCTTGCTTACACATTCCCTCAGCGTCGATACCACCAACGGCTTATCTAGTCTTGTTGAAAGGCACATAGCGATTCCGCCCCCTTGGTTGCATTCAACAATTTGGGGTTCTGTGCATGCAGGGCAGCCAAAAAAAAAAAAAAGGTGTTCGAGACTGTGTTCTGCAACACAAGGACACACAGGTCTAGCGCAGGATGAGTTGGTTGGAATGTTGGGTAGCTAGTAGAGGCCAAGGGGAGCCACCTAGAGGGGTTTACAGCAACGCCGTTTCATCTTTCTCCCTTTCGAATGTAGGAAGTAGCGTGAAAAGGGGCTTTGCGGGTGGACGTATCTCGTGTCTCGTGTGTTTCTCTGGGATTTGAGAACTCTATGCCTGCCAACGGTTCTTCTCCTTGCCCCCCACCCCCCCTCCCCTTCCGGCCGCTTGGAGCAGTGGAAGACGAAATTATATCACTCGGGTCAAACTCCCTGAGCAAGCCTCGAATCAGTTTGATAGATCATACGAGAACCACTTGATCGTCGTGAAAGTGGTTCGCGATGTTGTAAGAAGCACTTTTTGTGGCTTGACCATGGCGTCCAGGTGCTTTATCGCCATGGTCGGAAATGGAGTGGAAAGGCTCGGATCGAATTCCGCACCCCCCGCCCCTTCTTTGAAGAAAAAAAACCCCGTCCGCGGAAAGTAATCCGCGCAAGTTCAGGCATCCCTGAGTTGAAGCCATCATGGGTGACTTTGACATTTCCGGTAGAGAGCGAGCGAGGAAGGCGAGGTGTCGATATTCCCATTTCAGCCCCAGATAGCTTTTCGTCAGCTCCTCTCCAGATCCGGATGAAAATCATTCGACTCCTAGTATATGAGAAGGAGTCATTCGAGTTTACGAAGCTTGTGCCTAGCCTGGAACCACGTTTGGTAAAATCATATCATTTGCCTCGCTGGTTAGTGAGCTTTAGTTTGAAAACAAATGAGCCGAACACGTCGCCTAAGGCGGAGAAGAAGCGTAGAGAGAGGGAAGAGGGGCGTGTGAGAAATTTCACAGGGAATGTCAAGTTGTTTCTCGATACCCGTTTTCGCGCACCAACGTCTAGGTAGAGAGATCTGTGTGAAAACTTCGGAGAACGTCCCATAGGCGGCGAAGATTTGAGATATCGTGAGGCGCAAAATACTGTTGAACACGTGGTAAATTGGCAATACAAATCAGAGATGTCTAGGGGACCAACTGGAATAACGGTGGCTTGGACTCACTTTTGCCGACCTGTCCGCTGGTGGTCCGTCCTTGTTTCTTTCAAAAGGGGAAAAGAAAGGGACAGCTTGTTTCGCCCATGCTCGAACGAGAGGGAATCTGCCGTCCCGCGCGGCAGTCGTCGGAGTGGTTGCCTTTCCCGGCGAAGTTGCTCGCCCTCGACCGGGTGTCTGCGAGATATTTTTCTCTCTTATTCCATTTCGTCGATTTGGGGGGGCGTGGTTGTCAAGGGAGAAGACTAGGTAAAGGAGGCTGAGGTATGGTACTACGGTACTTTGGGTAATCCACGTAGAAACGCTAGAAGGATCTTCGCGGAAAGGAACAAACCTAAGACATGAGAGGGGCATAAACATGTATAGCAAGCAACAAGGCAAAGTAGTGATGCTATGCTATCCCTAGTATGAAGGAGAAAAAAGCCAACGTATGTCGTATACCCCTTCATTGAAGATGTCAACCAATGTCAACTTTACACACCCCACCGCCCAATCGAAACACTTTCTCTGGCGTGGGAGAGGGCGAGGGGGCGGGAGTGTGGTGTGGACATACCCCTCTGAGCGCCCCCGCGATAGTCGCCTGCCCCGCAACTCGCCCCCGTTGGGGCCCCCCCCCCGGGGGGGGGGGGGGGGGGGGGTGGGGGGGGGGGGGGGGGGGGGGGGGGGGGGGGGGGGGGGGGGATAATGCATCGAAAGATCGCCTTCCAGATAATCGCACTACGAAACGGCTTCCGTTTTTGAGCAAGACCAGCGAGTGTGGGGGATCCGGGGGGATAGGAAAGAGACAAGAGAAGTGAAGGGGAGGATCTACATCGGATGCCGAATACGTGTGTGCTGTCCCCGGTCGTGGTGTGCTTGCAAAGCTGCATTCGCCGACTCCTCCATTTCGAGAGTGAGCGTCCAAAAAAAGACAATCGAAGTGTGCACAGATTTCACAAATCCTTCGACGGAAGACGATCGTCCCGTCCCGCCCCTTCAGGCACTACTGCATTAAATAGCTCCAGAACCCATTGTAGTCTTCTAGTAAGCAAGATGCTACCCATCCACGCCCGATACTTCCCTAGCCCCGACGAAACGGTTTCCGAAGCCGGATTCTTTCTCCCGCCAAAACAACCCAAGACATGATGACAACAATGGCGGGGGGGAAAGAAGGCAGGAGGAGTAAGCCATCAGCTGTTGAATTTCATCAATGATGATCCCAGAGATAAGATACCCCGAAAACAGGAAGGAGAGACGAAGCATTGCCTGACCGATGTCAGCTTGGCGAAAGATGATGGTAGTAAGGTACCGTAGCTTTCCCCAGACCGGCGAGCCGCGTGGTATTCTTCACCTGCCACTGCTGCTCGACCGTTCCCTCCTCCCCGCGCCCAACCCTGCCGAGACCCGGCGGCGGGAGACGATCCTCCCCGGACGGGATGGACAGAAATCCGATTACGCGATTAGTCCCCGAAAAAACCGACAAGTAACACAAATGTTCTGAAGACCACATCACCATAGTCAAGGGCAAAGGACGTTTCTAACCTCGACGAATTCCAAAAGGAGTAGCCATGACGAGCAGTACCAAACGTGACTGCGATCACCAGTCCGATAATATGTTGCACAAAAACGGACTAGAAAGTCCGCATATATGCTTACCTATATCGAACCAATGCCCTCGTCGAAGGAAGAAACAGCGCTGCTCGCTGACAAGAGATACGCGTGAGGCAGTAGAGATGAGATGGGACAAAGTACCACACCAACGATGACAACGACGACGACGACGACGACGACATATCACACATGGTTCAAAGGCTGAGCGGGCTAGGCCCCCAGAATGACCATCACAAGAAATGTCTCTCAAATGTGGTGCCTTTGCCGCGCCCGCCCCCGGCTCCGCATCTTTCCGTGTAATCGGGAGGAAAGGAGGGGGGGTTAGGCGATTTGTGTCTGATATTGTACCTAGCCTCCCCTGATAAAAATGTCACAAAGACAGTCTCCAAAGGATAATTGACCCGCCCGGGCCGAGACTCGCACGGGATAGAAACGACGCCTGGAGCCGTATGCAGTCTGGTCCAGTGCAGAACCAGGAACCGCGGCAAAACGGGTAAAAAAGATCCGTGTCCGTGTTTACTTTATTACCTTTCTCTCTCTCTCTCTACCGGCCAATAACGTAAAACAAGCTCCATGCCGTTTCCGGCGATTATCCATAGGTGTTTAAAGGAAAAAAAGGGGGGAAGAGAAGGTTTTCCTTTCTTACTGGTCTGGTACCGAACAAATAAAAACCGAGACAAAACAAAACAAACAGCGGGTAAATCGGAAAAGTCGGTTTCTTCTAAACAGTAAGCCAAGTAAGCACAAAGTAGGTAGGACAGGATAAGCTTCCTATCCGTCATAGGAACTTTTGTAGAAGAAAGGCCAGCAGAGTCAGCGGCAGTAAATTCCGACGAGGGCAGTAATTGGCCTTGAGGAGGAACAAAACGAGAGTGCAGCAGAGGGACGCGGAGTCAATACGTGAAACCCGCAAGTAGAAAGGGCTGCGGAAATTGCAGTCTTGCCCCTCTACGTAAGTCCTGGTGACGACGACGACTAAGAGGAGGAGAGGGAAGAGAAGAAGACTGTCAGTGAGTGTGCCACATCACACATAGTCACACGTCATTCGCGATGGGGGGGCGACGACGAAACATCACCAACTTCACACCAATCTAGGCCCGAATCCACCCACCAGAGGCCGAAATGAAGACCAACGTTTCCAGCTTTATCTCGATTATCGGGCTTGCGGTTCAGCTGCTGCCCCACTAGCTTACACTCATGCCTAATCCCCGGATTCCGTACCCGAAGGACTTGTTGGAAATGGTAAGACAGACCCGCCGACTGTTTCTTACGTGCGAAACTATGAGGATTCCCAAGGAACAAGTTTAAACGGGGAGGGGAGAGGGGATGATACCTAGGAAGGACAGGTTTGGGGGAGGCAAAAACCCGGGAGTCTGGAAAGTGTTCCAACACAGCCCCGATGAGTGAGACCTCCGCTGACGATTTCATGAGATGGGTAAGAGCTGAAGAAAGTTTTCGAAGCTCCAGTGACCATCCCTAGATAGGACAAGATAAGAGACAATGTGCCTACCCCCCCTAACCCCCCGTGAGTATGAGGTTCCACGAAAAGCTTACTACGAGAGAGTGAAAGGCACATCGGGGGCCGTCTTCTCTCGTAGTTGTGCCTGGCTTTCTACTTACCAGGGCAGGAAAAAATTGCGTTCGAAAAGGGAAGTGGATAAGCACAATCGACAGTTTCAATGTCTTACCATCACTAAGCAGTGTTGTGCAGAAGACTCTCGGGGTAGGTGTTGTACGAGATCGCGTGGAACACTGCTCCCGGGGGTGTGCCGCTGGGGCCGTTTCTGGCCCTGGGGGACCTCGATCGTTTCCCGCGACGGACTTGAAGGGAAGAAAAGGCCGCGAGCGTACGTGTGCCTGGAAAAGTGACGGTGCCGCCAGTAGAAGGAGCTAGAAGGCGACGAAGAAGTTTTCCGCACGTCACCGGCAATGCCGCAAACGGGAGGCTTTCGACCGGGAACCTGGGAACGAGAGACGAGTACATACGCGGTGTGCGGCTTGAGTCCAAGGCGCTGCGAGGCTAGAGGCTTTTCGGTTTTCCCACATGGAGGGCGTGCGACAAACCGCGACGAAAGAGCGAAAGGCGAAACGCAAGCAGACAAGTATCGATCCCAAGGACGTGGTGCCTGTCTCGGGGACCTGGAGCTTGCGGCAGCGCCACTACAACTTTGTCGGACACAAGCCTGATAGAAACCAGCGGGACGTGTGCCTCTAGCATCGTGCGACGAACAGGATCGAGGCACCTTGTGGAGGCTGTGCCTTTTGGGTGCCGAGCTGTTGATAAAGCAGACGGCTGCCATGTGCGATGACTGACCATGTCTCACCGGATGCGGATGGAAGTTCGTTGGTGGATAGTGGGATAGGAAAGAAAGCTCTTTTGTTGGCTGGTGGGGATACTTACGATAGTGGACCCGGACGACGATGATGTGTGCTGCATCTGATGGAGGCCATTAACTCGACGGTTAAAAAAGGGCTGGATCATGTCTCGGTCCACGCACACAGCTTTGAGCGCCATCATCCAGTCTGTCGGGTCCATGAATCGAATGACGAAGAGGACTCTGAGAAGCGTTAGTGGGCAAACCTCGAGTTCCCAAAACGGGGACGTGATAGAGTTGAATCAAGGTGTGCGCTGCTTTCGGGGAATTGCTGTCGTCCTGACTTGCTAGCGGATAAAACCCATGCAGGAACATCTGGGGACGGTAGGGTGACTGCGGCTGCGGGGCCAATGACCATGCGAGTGGATGCAGGAGAATCGCAGCGGCTGCGCAGATTACCGTGGCTATTTCCATCGGCCAAAGTCTGTGCGGCGTCTATTCGAGGAGGTACGCCGCCCGGGCTGACCAACGAGATGTCGGCGGGCGCTTGTGGGGGATGTGAGAGCGATAGCCTCTCGGGAGACACGGGATGAAGGGTATGTTCGGATGACAGATGCGCGGGCGCTAGTCATGGTTGTGCAGCTCAGCGATGGAACGAAAATCGAGGCTCAGAGGGCCAGGACGCGCTTCCTGAAACGCGGCGGTTGGGGGCTGATCCCAGGAGACGGCGAGCGGTTGGTCGCCTGTCTTACTCTTGCTTGAAGAGCCGATTTTGGCTGGTTGCCGTGATCAATATCCAAGGGTGGGCGTCCTTTGCTGCTGGCGTTTGAGAATAAGGATTTGAGCTAAGGAGAGTGATAAGCCGCCTGCAGTAGTTTGACGCCCAGCACCGAAGCATTGACTTGCATTTGTTCAAACCTCGAACAGCACTCCTTTCAGGCCTATGCCTTTGCGTCTGGGAGCTGTCCTGGCTGCCAGATAGACCGGGGGGCGTCGACGTAGAGGAACAGCTGCTGGAGTGTCGGAGAGCATCAGTCGCAAAGGCGAGCAAAAAGGCAAGCCTCAGTTTGGGGGGTGGGGTAGAGTCTATGCCCTCTTGTTGTCCTTCCCGGCGTTGAGCTTGAATTTCCGTCCACAAGGGGAAAAGCGTCTCGGCGGCGTGCCGACGAGGCGTCGAGGAAGACACCGCATAACTGGCTTCTTGGAGTCGACGTAGATTTGACGTATTGTTCATCGAAGTGCGGCAAAATTTTCCCGCTTCTACGCCGCGACTGAGACATCAAAGGATTGAAGGAGCCGGACGGCGCCACGCCCCGGTAAGCGGACGCCGTGGGCAGATGACCATTGGCTTGCTCGCAGACATCTTGCAGTATTGGTTTTCTCGGCGGAGGCATTTCGTATGAAGGGCGGCTTGAAGGGCTTCGTGCCTGCGATTTCTGTCCAAGAGTTTGGGCATGCAGTCTTCATCAGGAGTGACGTTTGCTTGGCTGCACTGGCATGGCGTTGTCGAAGTCCCGATCAATTGTATTTCTTTCTTCGTGGTGGAGACAGTTCGCATAATGGCAATGGCCAGGTCAACACGGCCTCAAAGCTACCAAAAGACGAGACGAATGACTAACCACCAGAGCAATGTTCGGATCCGGGAAGTGACGGCTCGGGCGGGAGGGGAGGGGAGGGAGTAGTGTATACTCGCCCCGGGGGGGAAGGGCCGAAGTGTGGCTGGTACGTTCGCCGTCGCTGTCGCGTCCTCAGGCGCTGCGAGTCGCGAGGGCCCAGGGCCGAGGGCGACCTGGGCGTGGAAAAGCGTAGCAGGAACAAGGGGAGCGACGCAGGGCAGCGCAATCCCTGAAGAGCGTGATCGGGAGAGTCGTCGATCAACTGACTAAAGAGCCGAGGCCGGCGATCAGCGATGGGATGACAGATTGGTAGCAGCGCGCGCACCACGCCTTGGGATCCTTGCCGGGCGAATGGGAATGCGCGACCATCCCAGCGTTACAGGCTACAGGGGGAAGAGGGGGTGGTGGGGGGCGTGGGCGTTGATGCGTTGAAGGCATCCAATGCCGCAAGTGTGGCTCAAAATGGGAGAGGCCGGTCCATGCGGGGTAGGTATTCAGCGAATGCTTGGCTCCCATCACCCCTACTGTCTTTACCAGGCATGGGCATGCCTCCCATCAGCTGGCACAAGCCGAATGGTCCAGGGGAAAGACACCTTGGTTGGTTCATCGCTTCAGTGGGCGCATGATTTCGCATCACGAACATTTCCGTGGCGGAGACTGCCGGTGTTTGCTGTGTCAGGCGAACATATGTCCTTTTGATGCAGTTCAGTCTGAGCCGCACCGGATCACGACGCTGTGGCTGCGGTCGCCATCGCATTGGACCCAACAGGCCGGCAAGAACATCAATTTTCGTCAATAGGCCTCCCGGCCAGCTGGTCGTGGGCACGTTCAGCCACAGTTTGTCTCGGAGCAAAGCCACCTCGTGTGGCCTGGGCTTCGAGGCGCGATTGGCGAACTCGTTCTGCAGTGCTGTTGGTTGGTTCCAAGGCTACCCCGCCAATCACGGCTCTCGCATGGCACTGCATCGGAGTGGTCCCCGACGCACCAGAACCGAAGCGGCAAGGCCTCCCGGGGATTGTGGGCCCCGTGGTTGAGGAGGTGGGAGATGGGGCTCGGGAGTCGTTGAGAGGAGGGATAAGGGAGGCGGTGAGGAATTCGGTCGGGTGCCGAGACGGTCTAGACAGACGGCCGTCCGGTGGACGCAGCAAACCTGCAATGGCTGGACGAGGTTGAGTCTCTGCGTTGGCTCAGCATGTGACGTGGACCGAGTGAGTTGGATAATTCTGGCGGTGATAGGTTTTCCCAATCCCCCCCCCCTTCCCCCGTGTGTTGCTTGTGATGCTTGTCAGCAGGGAGGGTACCTGGTCGCATTATTGCATCAACTTCCCAGTGCCAGATACAGTTGATCCGACTCCTCTGCCATTGACCGTCCCCCTGAGAATGCGGTCTAGTTCGACAGCCGATGATACACTCCCACGCTTGCGCAACCAATTCTCTACGACTAGACTCGAAAGCCCTGGCCTGTTCCCCACCGCGGCGCAGGCAAAAGAGGGTGCAGATCGGTTGCGCCTTTCAGGGGAAACTCCAGGTGGGCTGCAATAGAGGCTAGGATGTTGCAGAATTTCAACTATACCATCTTTCAATCGCGCAGCGCCATGATGCATGGTGGCGGTCGTTAGTGACCCTCCTGCCCGAGATAGGAGGGGCATCCTATTACCCGTCAGTTGAACAGATAACGCCGCAATAGGCAACGTAGGGATCGAGGGCTAGTAAGCGGCTGGTGTCTTGATACCGGCCATGATGGTTGGGGGGAGACGGTTCACAGAGAATTGGGTCCGACTAGGACGCCTGACACATTTGGCAAGTCGCTCGGTGGCCCGCGGGTCATGGCGAAGCCACCGTCGCAGGAGGTCATCTTGAAAAGACGCGTGGCGGGAAGCTATCGACGCCAACCGTAGGGCTCGGGCATGTGGTTGTCGACGGTGCCTCTGGCCGCTTGTCAGCTGCCATCCGGTCTCTGTCCATGTCTTTGCGACGGCTGGCACCCGGGCCAATTGGCACGAGACTTCGTATGCATGTCATTGGCTCGCGATGGGGCCCGGCGGACCGTACTTTGTTGGGCCCGTTTGACAATGCGTGATGCGTTAGGCAGCTTGGATGCCAGGTTCTTCATCCCTCCGCATTCTCGACCATCACCCTGCGTTTAGGCTTCAGTGCAACTGATCCGAGAAAATCAGAATGAAATGGAGAAAATAGGGGGGCCGTTGGAGTGAACCAAAAACACAACTTGGTAACCACGTAACGTCGAGCCAGAAGCTAATCGGGGGGAAGGAGGAGGGGAGTGCATTCGATTGGGAATGAAAAGCCATACACATGAAACTGTAACGTGGGGAATGATCTACCTCAGGGGACGGGAGTAACAATTAGTGCGTGAGCATATTGGAAGCAGGGGGTGGTTCCCCTCCAGTGAAGTCGAAAACGAACTCCTTCACTGCCACAGCATGGCTACACCCTCTTGGCAATTGCGGGAAGGGAGTGATCAATCATGCGAGCTCGAAACTTTTGAATTTTTGGCGGGTATTAGGATTGCGCCTTCAGGCTGTTGGCAGCATTGAAAGACAGAGAGAGAAGAGAGGAGTTCGTGTCCTAGTGTTGCCGGAGATCCTCTCCAGCGTAAGGCAGGGTAGCCCGTTATGGGATAGATAGGCATGAGGCCCAAATCTCGACGTTGGCTGTGATTGACTGACGGTAAAGCTTGATTGGCTAGGATGTTTTACTGTACAGTTCGAGTTTAGGATTCCAGCGAGGGCTTTGTGCCGGGCTGAGGATTGGATGAGATTCCCGCCTTGTGGAGGAACTCCAGGGACTCGAAAAGTCTGTTTGGGATTTCAGTGAGCGGCGAGCAGGTGTAGCCACACGATTAACGGCTTTCTTCTCCCCTTTCAGGCAAGCCAAGAAGCGCCAGGAAACCAAGTTCCTGCTCATTCACCAAAAGCCCGACAAAGGAGCAAACTCCCCAGCCAGAACTTCAGGTCAGTGGGGTTGGGAGACATTTCCTGGCTGGACTGGGCTAAAGATAAGGCGGCCTAAGCCTTTTGGGTGAACAGGGAGCCACTGCTGAGCATGCCAGTAGGCCACTAGAGTGAGAAACGATTGACCATGGTTGGCTGACGGCTCCTCACGTTCCGTGAGCTGACGGTTAAGCTGGTGGCGGGATGCAAAGCTCCAGGCAATGTCTCAGAGGTTGAGGAGATGGCGCTGTGTGTGTCGTTTCATGAGCACCACCCGACGCTTGTCCCGTTGCGGTGCTCTGTTGCTGTTGAGCTGTTGATGCGGAATGGGAATCAACGTTCATGATGATTTCGAAACCAAGAGACTGCCCATGCGGGATTGGCTGCGCCGTACCGCAACTTGCGGGCGTGGTCTCACTTTGTTCTGACTGATCAGGCTCTTGCCAGCGCGGGCTATGGCTTTTGGAGCACGTCCGTGGAGGCGTCCATCGTCCTCAATGTGTTCATGTTTTTTTTCTTTGGTAAATGGGCGGCATGATGTAGCTCGTCATGCACACCAAAGCATTACTGGTTGCAGAACGGCTGGCTGTGGCTTTGTTTGATGATACTATCCACCCAAGGATGATTCAGTGAGGGGGGGGAAAGTAGAACCAAAAACCAAGGCCCAAGAAGGGCGTCTGTTTGTTGATGTTTTCCGAGGAAGCGGCGATAGGATTGGCGACGGCGAACGAGACTGCAGGCGAGCATCAGAGGCGTCCCCAAAACAAAGCAACACGGCCAGGCCTGGGCCAGCAGCCCAATAACGGTAAAACTGCAGAGCGGCAGGGACGCGAGATGAGTCACGGAGGCGTGAAAGGTGAGGGAGAGAAGTAAGGCGGAGGCGGCGTATCGGCGCCAGGTAAAGAAAGATCGGTCGCGACGCGGGCCGGTTCTCAGCGGCCGGGAACCACACTGCGCAGTGTGCTAGACGTGGTTGATATCGTGTCTTGATCAGGTAAGGCGAGGCAAGGCCCATCCATACGCTGTTTCAGAGAGGGGGGTCCAAAAAATAGGAATAGCGGAGATTAGACGCCCACTGGTTCGGGCGGGAAGAGTTGAAGGTTTGCCATCCACGCGTGGCGGAACCGAGTTCGAGTTCTCCGGAAGGCCTCGTCTGTTGGCCGTATTCATAGATCGATTGGCAGAGAGCGGCGGAGAAAGCTGTCCATCGCATGTTTCATCAGCGTGCTCGACGTAGGACGGGGCCACCAATGAGCCGCGCGCATCGGTCGCGTCACTTCAAGATCTTTGGGGCAGGCAAGCTGGACACCTTGTCAGTGACAGCAGAAAGCAAGCTGACGTGCGTACCTTGGCTTGGGGTGACTTGCACTGCTCTGCTTTGCTTTACGTAGTACTCCGTAGTTGATTCTTTTTTGGTGCTGAGTTGGCGGCTGAGGATTCGTCCATTTGATCCAGTCGCATCTCGTCTGTATCCGTAGTTCCCACTGCCAGGCAAGGGCCGCACGGAGAGGCAAGAGGCAAGGGAGGAGGGCGACTCTGGAAAAAGGCACGTACAGTAGTACTAAGGTACCTTAGCTCCTTCTATCTCAACGACAGCCAATGAGGATGGCCACCTTGTCTGAGGACTGTGAGCCAGTGTGAGGATGTGCAGCCGCCAGCTCACTGACAGACGGAGAAGCAGCGAATGGCTGGGGGCGGGTCTGCCTCCCTTTCCTTCTTCTCCCGCCATCGTATCCGTACCTACCTACCTACCGTAATACCTTGCCTAATAAAGTCAGGTACCATGTAATCTTACTGGCGAGTCGCCGCCAGCTTCGTACGTGCGCATATTTGTTGCAGTCTCTCGTCCGGGGCTCTGGACGGACCAAAAAAAGCTCCTGCTTCTTATTTGGGGAGACATGGGCCCTTGCTTGTGGGATCGTGTCTTGGTGTTTCTGCAACCACTGGCTGAAATAGGATCGCTTCTGGTGTGCAGCGGAACTGGGGTCGCTTGAGCCGAGCTGTGAAGACCAGTCAACGGGCTTTGTGAGACACTCAAATCAACGTTGACCTATTACACCACGGCCACGGCTCGGTTGTTGTCGTTCGTCGTCGCCGTCAAGGACCGGCGGATCCAGTCCTGCCTGCATCGTGCTCCCGTCCGTAACCCAAGTCGAGTCGCCAGTGTTGCGCGTGTACCTTGGTTTGGGGCCGTGGTCCTGGTCGGTCTTGGTCTTGGTCTTGGGCTCGCAAAAGTAAATATACCGATCTCATCCCTCGCCTCGGCGCCTCTAGCACTATATTTCATCCCTGTGTCCTCCCTCTTGAGTCTTGAATCTCGAGTCTTGTTCCGCTCGGACGTGATTCTCCTTTTCCAAATCAAACTTGCATCATCACCGGCATTCGAGGGCTGTTGTATTGAATACGACAGTCGCCATTGTCTTTCGGCATCCAATAGCACCACCGCCGAGCTTCACCACCGTCCTCGGACCAGTGAAAGCAGGGAGACGGAGCAGAGACAGCACCGACTCGGAGGTACCCCGGAAGCTACCGATTTACCAACGCAGAACGCGTCCCTTTCCCCCGATTCATCTTCATCAACAGCCGGCCTGGTTAATACGAATCGGATCTGCTCAATAATTGTTTTTTCCCCTCGTTGCCGGGACTATTGTTTACTGTATTGTTTACTTCCATTGGATTCTTGTTTACTCGTTCGGTTCCCCGACTAACGAACCCCTCCGTTGCTGGTCATCGCGTCTCTGCAAGGTACCGAATCCCTTCACGGCCCCAGGTGTCCGTCCCTCTGTACCCCTCCCGCGACGTTCCCATTTCAGTGGCCCTGGTCTCGCCACACTACAGCTGCCAGTAGCGCCTTCCAACTGTGCGCGCGCACACACACAGACCACAGTCGCTCCTGCCCGCTCATCCCATCACATCGCCGCTGGTACCTTTCCGCCCGCCGACTTGCCAAGGCCCTCCTCCAAATACCAATTTGATCCCTTTGGTCACATCCGTCAGTGCAGCATCAGAGAAACTGGAACTGGAATCGTAATTCCTCGTTGGATCTATTGAAATTTGCCTCGATCGTCACTTCCCTGTCGCCGTCAGATATTTCGCCCACGCGAGTCTGAATTAAAAGGCAGACACCGGCCTGCGTTCCATCAGCCAACAGTCTCATTATTCTTCTCACCACCGTTGGCAATCATCACCAACACACACACACACACACACACACATCACCAACCAGCCACTCCCTCTCGCTCAGGCCTTCCACTGGTGCCTTTTCTCGTATTACACACTATCAGCTCGAGGCATACTGCATACTACCTTATCTTGGTTCTACGCCAAAACGGCAATTGTGCATCACATCATCTTTTGCGAAGCCTAGATTCACGCGAGAGACAAGACGCCGTCCGTTCACATCTCGACTGACACCTTCATCCTCGTGTTCAATTCCGCCTTCGATTCTGCCCGAGAGCCTCGACCCTTGGACAAAAACCTGCCGCATGCTGCATCGTAGCGTGTGTGGTCCCCAATCAATCTCATCCACCCAATTCAGTCGACCCCAACTGCCCAACTTGGACGTCCCCTGCTTGCGGCTTTCCATTCGCAGAAGACAGCCCGCACCGCCTGCACCGCCTCGCACCCAGCTGCCGACAGACACACTCTGCACGGTCGAGGAGCTGGAAAGTACCCGCTACCTCCTTCTCCGCGCAATCTTGACCCGTTGACCCACGTACCCCATACTCTCCATCCCATCGCCCTGAGAAGTGGAAGGCGGATTCATTTTCGGAAAAGTGAATTCCCAAAGGCCCTGGCAACTGCCCTGCCATCATTCTCAGTTTCCCATCATCTGGTCCGGCAGGTATTCCTCTGGCCACCTTGCTTGTCGCATCAAGAGACTCTATTCCTGGGACCATCCCGAGCACTTGACGTCGGTACCTCAGTGCCCTGCAACGGCTTAATTCATCTGTGAGTAACACTTTGCGCCAGACAAACTTTCGACTCAGGCCTCTTGCTCCAAGTTGAAAGGAGTGTCAATCATTTCCCCGTCCTCGACCGCCGCTCTCACGTTTTCGGACTTTGGATCCCGGCCGAACAAAGCCCATCTTCGCTGCTGACTTGGACCACCTCACCCTCACGCTGCACACCGCATCGCAACCGCCCCGCAGCCCCGAGAACAATTAATCAACAATCGGCATTCGTCCAACGCCGTCCGCTGGTTCGGAAGCTCTGGTTTCGACTCGTCTCGAGTCAACTGTCCTCGTCGTTCTGCAATCTTGCCAATCATTTCGATCCACGAACAGATCACCGCCGCTCTGCCGCTTCTACCGCCTTCAGGCAGAACAACTAATACTATATCCCGCCCGCTGCCGAGTCGTCGCACTACACACGACGCACGACCCAACCGTCAATCAATCCGATCCAACTCAAATCGCCGACCACTGGCTCAATTTGTCCTAGACTTGTCCGACGCATCAAGCTCATTTCACGACGAGGAAATCATTTCGACGTCTTGACCCTTTCTCCTAAACCCAAACCCAAATCCGCAGGCCGCAATCATCCCTGACTCGCCCCCGGGTCGTTTTACTTGACGCCGTCACCTCCTCATCCGCAACTCTTCCATGCGCTTGGCAAACTCGACGTCCGTTTGCAGAACCTTCAAAACTTGTCCTATTCCTCCATTCGTCATAGGCCACCGGGCGATTTCCAGAAGTTTGGGTTTTCGTCTGTTCACTGCCATTGTCGTCGTCTTGAACAATCGAAAAAGTTAATAGGCACCAAAATCGACTGCTCTGCTTCCAGCTTTCAGGAACCCACTCGACCTGCGCCCTTTCGTACTTCTTTGCCGACGTCGTTGGCGTCTGTATTCTATCCAATCACCATATCACCATATCACCATATCACCATCTGCCGAATACTCGCCGACTCCGCCGAAAAAGTCTTCCACTACAGCATCATTCACCATCTTTGCAACAACACCGCAACGCAGCAGCCAGACCATTCTCTCGTCGCTACCAGAAATATCCAACTGTTTCTGTGTTATCTACACTGCAGCATCTTGCATCACCAAGGACACTTTCAAAACTCTCGCAAGCAACAATCTCACACTCTCGTCTGGACAGATCAGTCTTTCGAGTGTAGCGCCACAATCACCGTCTCCGATTTGGAGGTTAAATACAGAGTGCAGCAGCAAGAAAAGCAAACCCACCAATTTGCAGCCGCTCGCACCGAGTCTGCAACCCGCGAGAGATCCAGACCCCTGCCGGCCAGTCCGCTAACTCCCCTGCCACCTCGCTTCTTTTGGACTACTCTTGTTCCCGTCCGCTGGTTATTATCGGCACCCCTCCCGCCTCATCCCCTGCCACCCATACCCAAGCACGCCCTCCCCCCCTGCACGCCTTCACACCCCGGCACCCCTGGGATCTACAGCATTCCAGCCCACACCAAGCATCCAAGCCCCCTCAGCAGGCACTTCCGTCGGCGTCCTGCTGAGACT